ATAAAAGAATGCATGAATAGAAATCACAGTATGTATACTGTATATAGTATTTAATTTGCAAAGATAGGATAGGCAGTAACAAAAACATCAGTGAAATGAAAAAATACAACAGAAAAAAAATTAAAAAAGGATAACAAATAACTGAGCTGAGCAAAGGAATAGAAGACAGCCTGAGATTTATAATCATATTGTTTTATGTCTGGTAGTTCGCCTTTGCTTTGCATTCAGGTTCGACTGTTTCCCTGTATAACACTACTCTGCAGGACACTGCTATTGTGTTCAGAGGAAGCCCCCCTGCAACCCCCACACAGGGCTCAGTCTGGCTGCTCCTGAAGATAGGAGTGGAAGAATGCGAATTGATATAGCAGACAGGATGCCATCAGGAAGGCCTGAGCACAGCCCCTGCCAACACTACACTAAAGACGAAGACAAAGTGCAACAGCCCTGTTCTTACCTGTCTCTTCACTTAGATCTTGATCTGTGGAGTTCTCATATTTATTTTTTTGAGTGTTTTGTTTTCTGTGTAGTACTACTAACTTGGATCAGAAGAAAAACTGGAAAAAAACAGATTCTAGCTATTTACAGTACGTAATGTGAGGTAAAGCCTCACATGCTTTAGAATGGCGGTGGCAGAGCAGAGCAATACCGCTACAGAACCTGGTCTTTAGCCCCTTATCTTCTCAGCTTGTAGTCTGAACTGCAGTTTTCTTGGCAAATCTGCTTGCTTCAGAAGAGACAGCCCTTCTTGTATACAGTTTAAGTTTCTTGTCCTGGCTTACTACTGTGATGCAACTTTTGAAACTCCTCTAGCTAATATATCATGGATGCTGCTCGCCTTTTCTGGGCTGTGGATGATAGAATCACTTTACAGTTTCATCAGGACCGCTCTTTGTTGCTCAGACATCTCAAAACGTATTCATGCTGCACTTGCCCATCTGATGACCCTGCTGTTTATACATTGGCTAGATGAAGCCCAAGAAGAACTTGTAAGAGTGCACCAGTAAGCAGAGGTGTTGAGTGCTGGAGAGGGGCGGAGAGTCAAGGGCAAGATGAAGGTTCATGGAAGAAGAGAGGACTAAGGGGATCATGGAAAATAGAGATAGAGGGGGCACATGAAGAGGATGAAAAGAAAGGATGAAGAAGAGCAAGTTAAAGGTTTATTCCATGCTGAAAAAAGAAGAAAGGAAACACAACGTTTCAGCCGGGGAGCTTTTCCGGTGCGAGGAGGTCAGATTTTGATCATGATAGAGAGGCAGTTAAAAAGGACAGACTTGACAGGGCCAAGCACAGCAGCCTCTGGGAGGAAGGTCAAAGTCTGGCACTGATTTCTGCACAAAATAATTAACTGTATTATATCAAATAATAATTAACTTTATTATATCAAAATTAGAGTACTGTAAACGTTCACTATTAAGAGTCCCACAATGCTTTACTTACTTATCTAGCTACCCCTCATTTGCGGGGGGGGGGAGGGAGGGGCTGATTGTCTTCTACGAACCCAAAGGTGACACATAGAGTAATACCAATGACCTCTGACCTGACCTCTCTGGCAGGTTGGCTGGTGAAAAAGATGTACAGCTGTGTTCCTACTAAGCTTTTGGTGAGTCAGGATTTTGCAGCCCATGTGCAATTCAGAAGATTAAAGTTCTTCTGATTATATACAGTACACAAGCACTGCATTGTTTAGCTTCAGGTTACGGTTAAGGCCGCAGTGCAAGGTAGAGTGTAGCACTTAACCAGTAGTCTGGATTACAGTAGTCTCTAAGGGCAGGCTCCACACAAAGAGCACCAGAGCCTTCTCTTGTGCAGCTCCGTGATTGGGAGACTCTGCGAATGTGGAAATCTTTAAGTTTGGAAGGACACTATTATAACAACTTAATACTTTCGACATCATAGTATTTAATAGGTTCCAAAACAAACAATACACATTCACATCCTTTTGAATACAGTACATTTGGCACACAGTAAAATGCTTACAATGAAATAACACTAATGGATGGTTAGAAATTCAAAATACATCCATAAGGAAACATACTTCTGTACATACAAAGCTTCACAATACAGAAAATAAAATCAAAATTATATATATGTATACATTTAATATTCAGCCAGACACATTTTTGCACTTAATTTAAAGAGGTAATTTTTCAGCCTTTATTTACTCAGTTTTACGCCTCAATGACTCAACGACAGAGCATAATGTGTTTCCTATATAGAGTATTTTCCTTTTACAAATTTTAAAAATAAAATAGAAGCATAAAGATAACCAAGATACAATTTGGCATGACAAATCATAATTGCTATGGAGGAAGGACGTTTTCATGTTGAAGAAGGCTGGAGTGTAACAATATGTTCATACAGTATATTACAAAACACACTGGAGACCTAATATGAAGCAACACAGACCAACTAAAGAAACTGTAAACCAAAATGAGCAAAACTGACAAACAAAACAATCAGAAGAGACTGGAACTGAAAGTTAGAAAAAAAAGAACAACTGTCCTCCTAAAAGCATATTTTGTGCTCTCCCATATAGAAATGACTGAACCGTCACTATGAAACAAACATCAGTTGAGTCATTTTAATTATGAAGCCTGTTTTAATTTCTCCTTTTTTTAATTCCTTCACATTATGCACATACAGTATTATACGCATAATGTCAAGAAATCAAAACGGAGCTTAAAAGTCTCGGTAATTTACACTTAATCAGTTTTTTGTTCAAGAAAACACATATACATTAATGCATGCAGGTGGAATGTATGGTCTCATGGTATGTATAGACTCATAATTTCCTACTGTTATCCAACAGGCCTCTTTTCTTTGATGGAAAGAGCTCACATTCACATGAACAAATCATGAATGTTTCGAAAGGTCACTTCAATATTGATCCTAGATGTTAGACAGGCTGTCAAGAGCTCCTTCTGCAGAATTTTTAACCTGTTTTTTTAATGGTATCAGCTTTGTGAAATTATCTTTTAACATGACAATACACTTTGTTTATATTCACAGATTGTTTCTTATCCTAGATATTTAAATTAACACATAGTTTTCCTTTCAGAGGTTTACTAAGGTCAATATACTGGTTAATGCTTCCCTACCACTGCAGTTTACAACATTGTGTTGACAGTGAGATGTACAGTACTCTGAATTCATGTAATTATAAATACCTCTAATAAAACCAAAAAATAATAAAAATAAAATAAAACCAAAATTTTTACAGAGCGACACAGAGTGCATATTTTTTGTTGGGGTTCTCCTTTAATTACATTTAGATATGCCTTGATATGAAGAAATTACTTTGTCATGAAGTGGAAAAGACAGAGTTAGAATTCATTAAAAAATGACATAAGAAGTGGATGCTACATTTAGCTTTGGAAAAATTAAAACAGAAAATTTACTTTTGTGAACTTTCAGTTTCATAGGATTCACACCTAATCTGTCTATATGCAGCAGACAAAACATATGAAATCTAAAATAATGGAAACCTATGATAATGATACGGTGGAAGCTTACCTATAGAGTACATTTGAAATTCATTATTGTCTGAAATCCCAATGACTACAAATTACATTGATGGTATATAGATATTGAGGTTTACTGTCACATCATGTATGTAGATCCATGTATAAATCATCTATTAATTTTCCACACACCCTTAAGAAAATAAATCCATACAGTGTTAAATTTGTCTGAACTACAGCTACTATGCACTCTGAAGAAAAAAACATTTTGGATCACTTTCAATTATTACTGATCATCCCTTTACAGGACTGACATTCTGTACTGTAGCATTTCAATTACTGCATTTGAACATTTACAGTATACAGGATAAAGCAAGCAAAAAAAAAGTTGCCTGTTCTTCAACGAGGTAAAATTTCTGTTTCCTTCGTTTGTATTCTGTGCTGTTATCTCACTAAATCATATGTGTACCATGATCACGGTTTTCATTGTCTTTCTTAACATAAAAAATAACAAAATAACCCTATTTATATTCTGCTTTCTTTCATCTACTAAAATATCTCCATACTGTGTGCTTGTAATATTAGATTTCTGTTTTTTGCTTTTTTTTAAAAGTTCATGTTTGAAGGACCTGGAAAGCAATCTAGAAATATGTTAGGGAAAAGTTTTTCACATTAAGAGCGAAATACTGTACAAAGGAGGGTTCCCTGGGAAATTACAGGGGTTAACCAATACCAAAACACGTGCCTTGTCTACACGCTGAGTAGCAGACTAATATTGTAGGACAGGAATTCTGTTATCTTACATAAATATTACCAACCACGTTATCAGGCCAAGTTCCCTGTTGTATCCCTTGTATTTGTAAAACCGATGACAGATTGATGATTCATTTTTATACAGTTTTTTTTAGTAAACTGAATGTGCAGCAGTCTATTTGTACTACGATAATTATTCATGTGGAGAGAACTCATTATGCAGTGTTAGCATGGAAAGAAGCTGGCGGACTTTCAAGCCTACAGTATCTAGTAGGTCCTTGGAGACAATGGGGAGTAAACAATCTCTGGCCTGTACCCCAGGCCATTCTGGATCCTTACAGTTTAAATACAGCCCTAGAATTCTGAGACTGCGCTGTAGTGAGCGTATTGACGTGGTAAAAAAAAATAAAGCTGAGCTTATTATTTTAAATACATAATTCAAGACCTCTGTGCAAAGCACAAAACCACTTCTGCTTTGGGAGCCCTTGACAGCCAAAGATAGAAAGGAAGGATTGCACTGTTTCACACGCCTGGATCAGCTTATAGTCTTGTCTGGAGTGGTCTTGGGTTGAGCTGTAATCACCACACTTGTTTTCACAAGTACTGGTCAGTGGCAGCTTTCTCAGAGCTCTGCAACTACCACACCATCGCTGACGCACAAAAGATTTACACCAGAGGGCCTGCCAAGCTTTAGGTGATACGCATCGGAAAAACAAATCATGACAAAAAATAAAACAAGAACAAGAGAAGAAAAAAAAAATCTGACCAAAGAAGCAAATAAAAAAAACCTCAAAAATACACATACAGAGTATTGCACATGGACGTTATCTTTTTTTTTCCTCATAGACTAATACATTATATAATAGGCCTGACCATGCAGCGCTTGATACCTCTATGTTCAAAGAACTTCACAGGCTTTGCAGCAAAGATTATATACAAAGTATCACCTGTACATAGGTGGCTCATTCTGCCACCCACAAGAGTGAGTCTTGCTGAGCAGCCTGAAATCTCTGGGTAGATTTTCGAGAACTGCTCAATAAGACAATCCAGTAAAATCATTTTAAAAAACAAACAGAGAAAACAGACAATGAAATAAACCAACTTCAAGGGGCAGTTGTACACACAAGCACACACTCCCACACCCGTCGCACACTTGCACACAAACAAACCATACAAGGAATATTTAGAAATTAACTACAATAACACTGTTAGTGTATCTACAGTTGGTAACAATTATTTTTATCAGTAACATTGTCCACAAACGTTACCCCAATACACAAAAGGCAAATCATTGTACTTTGCTATAATTGTCAGTTTTGCAAAAATTTTGATCTTCACACAACTCCTTCTGATTTCAATACTATCAAACTTTGATAGCTATGTTTACTTTTAGATCCACAGGAATGCAATTTTTAATTCTCAGTCAAATAACTATGACTGTCAATTTTGTTAGGGTTGTGCATTCCAAAAATGCAATAAATTCTTGTCTCTGATTTCTGGACAATGCAAAACTTTGCATTAAAGGATTTAAATAATAATTTACAAAACTAATAGTAATCTCAAGTGAAAGAGACCAGTAGTACTACCTCATGAATTTTACGTCTGTCAGAAAATAGGACACCAGCAATGCTCAAGTCAGAGAGAAGTGAACCAGAGAAGTTTCTCAGTGCAATACCGCAGAAGAATATTTAAATGTTAAAAGAAACAGCAGAGGCAAGGGAAGTTAATTGCATTGCTGCTCATCACCAAATTTAGCCAGGTGCAGTTTCTATAGGATGCTTCTCTGTAGGATCAAGTGATGCAAATGGAGAAATACAGAAAAAAATGATTATTATTGTTTTTTGCTTCAATAATCTGGTTTTAAGGACATTCAGACACCCTTGTATTATTTTAAATACCCAAATAATGTCTTCTAAACCCCTCCCTTGCCTGGAGGCCTGAAGCCCTGCTCAGCTAAGCTCAAGGGTGTTCAACTTTCACTTTCCATCACTAAAAAAGAGCCTACCCCCTTTTTGTTAGTTTTCACGCTTAAGGATATGTACCAAAGACAACATTCTAGACAGTTTGGTGTCATGTCTGTAAAAATCTTGAGGGTTTAAAAATGCCATTCTCATTCGATAGTTTGCATTGAGATTGTTATATATAAAAAATAGACATAAAACACTCTTTCTTCTGAATAGCGAAAGAATACTGGCCCCATGACAAGATTTTATTTAAAGGGCAGCGTAAGCAATAGACGCTTTCGTATAATTTGTGTACTGACAAAATTCTGCAGCAGGACGACGTCTGACAACAGACACCATTGGTAGTGTGCTAAACTGGTGATGGGTGCCTTCTTGGTGTTGCCCAATGGGCATACATCTTCCTGTGAGAAACCTGGAAGAGCAGCTATAGGTGATAGAAACTGCCCAAATGTCTCCGTTACCTGCAGTCTACCCTTCCAAACCTACCCATCTACCTACTGAAAACTGCAATTCATGCTCACATTTTCCCCGATTCATATTTTAAAAAGGTATGCATTTTGTATTCTTTAAAATTATTTTAAAATATATTTACAGTGCCCCCCCCCTCCCCTCCAAACTCCCAGCACCAACCCATATAAGGTGTAAGAAAAGAGCTGCTGATTACACAGCGGATGCTACAGATGACAACCTGCTAGGCTGGACAGATCAGCCTTGTGGGGAAATTGGGAGATGGGATGTCTGTGTAGCACAGCTGCCACCAGGGAGGACAAACAGTGCCAACCATAGGCCAGCAATGTTGCCTGGGTAGGGCTGCTTATTTAAAACAAGCCAGAGGGAGCAGGTAGCAGAGTACCACAGGTCAGGACGCTGGCTGGTTATCACACTCCTTGCTTTCAAGGAGGGAGTGCTTCTGTGGTCATTTCTCTGCGACGGCGAGTTACGTCTGCCCAAAACTGAGCACGAAAAACAAAGAAACGAAGAAGAAGGTAAGATAAAGTGAAAATGAAAAAAAAAACCCAATGGAGTACTTCATTGTGGAGTATTGACAACCCCTTAATTAGCCCACTGAGCTGGGAGTGCAGCAGAGCGGGGTGACGGTCAGAGCAGAGACTAATACTTGACTGGTCGATCTTCGGGGCGTCCTCCTGGGGGCGCTCTGCGCTGGAATGGCGGGGCAGTTCGGGGATGGAGGGCGGGGCTGTTTAAGACAGGGGATCTTCCCCGAAGTACGAGAATCCCTTGAACTCCTCCTGGTTGATCTGTTTGATGATGGCGTCCTCCACTGGCGTGAGAACGGGCTCTTCACGCGTAAAGTCCTGGTCAAAATTGTTCACATCCCTTTTGGTTTTCTGCACAAAAAAAGCACAAAGAGACAGTAAAACGTTTGTTCAATTTTTTTCTCTTACATTATTCTTCTCCACAACATGACAAAATGGTGAAAAGTAACATGTACGTACAGTAGGGAAAAGTTGTTAAATCTTGGCCAATTCATCAGTTAAATAATTAAAATTGAGTACAAACATTTGCATGAATTCTTAGCATGGCAGGAAAACAACAGAACTCTCCCTTGAATCTTCTGTGTTTCAAACTAGGAAGAGTAACCAAACAATACACATATTCCACATTCCTCACCTGAAACACACGATCTCATAATGGACACTGGTGTAAAAAGTTAAGCTTTTTTTCCAGGTCTTTTCTTCATATAGACACAAGTGCATCAGTATTAAAGTGAATACATCCAAATCCAGTGGAGTTGTTCATTTTTTTACCATACTTCTGTGCAGAATTTTCTGTCAGGAGCCCAAAGTCAAGCTGACACGCGTTTGATCAAGCGTCAAGGCTCAATGTAATGTGGCAGAGGTCGGCGGCGGTGCTGATGTACTGTATCGCCTCTGTTATGGGAAGAGAGGGAGGCCGAGCAATCCCACAGTCATTCACCCCGCGAGTGACAGCAGCAGAACACAATGCAGACCCCCAGCAGCTGGGGTGAAGACAGTCAGATTGTGACTCTCAACTCTAAGGACCACCCTAGCACAGGGGGGCAGGGAGCCAAAACTCATGCCCACTTTCTGTATGCTGGGCACATTTAAATCCTTCCACTGCGGTATCCAAAACTTATCAGGAGGGTACAGACTACAACTAAGTAGAAAAACCTAGTTTAGCTCAAGATGTGATTTTTTTTTAAATTGCATGCTAAGGTGAGAAGAAGCCATTGCTAAACATTCATACCTTCAAAATGTGATTTCTTTGTAGGTTATGTTTTTAGGTTTCCTTTTGGGAGGCTCTGAGCTTCAAAGGTGGAGCTAATTAAAAAATGTTCTGTATTGGAAATGTGGCTTGAGCCAAACTCTTGCTCAATACTGTTTCTATTAGTGGTGATTTACCATGGCACTCTTTGTCCTGGACATTACCAAGTACTCCAAATACAATTATGTTTATTGTACAGTGCGGTCAATGCCATTTGTAATTGCTCTCCTGCATCTCTGTGTGTGCAGAGCTCCACTGTTATCTTTCCTATTTTGGTAATTAATATTCCTTTGAGCCACAGCCTGGCCCATCCTGGCAGATATACTGTAGCTCTTCCACCACTGCCGTTCATCTACACAAGCCCTGACTGAATATATTAATACGCAGTTATTTAAAACTAAAACACCTTTCTGTATAAACAAATATCAGTAATACTGTTACCAATGCCCCCTTGGTAAAGGGGTATTGGACTGCATATATAAGAAGACATCCCCCTTGAACCCAGGCTGAAACTGCCTCTATTTTATATAGCATTTTCTAACTACGTCTTCCATTTCAGGCTTGCAGAGGAGCTGGAGCCTATCCCAGCAAGCAACGGGTGGAAGGCAGGATATACCCTGGATGGGAAGCCAGTCTATCACAGGGCACACACACTCATGCCAGGCCCAGTTTTCCCAGAAGCCAATTAACCTACCAGTATCTCTTTTGGAGCACCCGGAGGAAATGTGAACACAGGGTGAAAATACAAACTCCATGCAGACAGCACCCCAGGTCCAGAATTGAACCCGGGGCCCCAGCGCTGTGAGGCAGCAATGTGGACCACTGAATTAGTGGTTAACGTTAACAGATTAGTGCTGATTTCCTCAGCATTCTTTTCTCTGGAACACAGCCTTGGTGCTGAGGAACTGCTGTACTGCCAAAAAATGTTTTAAAAAGTACAGGGCACCTGTGGCTTTCCATAGATAGAGTTCTGGCCATCCGAGGGTTTCCAAGACACGTCAACACAGTGCAGAGAGAAGGGCAAATTTATTTCCAAATTTAACGGAAAGTGTTGTATTCTGTTGATGTGGAGGTCTTGGCACGTGAACCTTGAACAGTTTTGTTTTGAACATGTTTGGTTCAGTATATTTAGCGTGACAAATTTACTGTGACTCACACATTTAAGTAAAAACAACATGTCTGGGTTGAAAGAGAATAAATTTCCGTTTCTTCAGCTGATGAAGAAGCACTGCAATATGTAGCCAATATACTGTATATGTTGTCATTCTTGCATTATTTTTCTTTCCTTTTTTATGTACATACCTTACACTATCGTGATCACCTACTGACATTATAGTGGTAATAGTTTAAGATAAATCTGTATTTTGTAGTGCAAAAAGCAGCTTCTTAGCTTTATGGATGTGTAGAAAAGAACAAATTATATTACTGTTTAGAAAACACCTGGCAATAACAATTAGATTAGGATAATGTAATGGATAAGCCATTAAAACAACAGTTCAGACTGACTGCTCATCTACTGTAGTTTACATGTAGTTGACTTGTTGTGATTATATTTATTCGGATTTATATTCTGATCAATGTGAATTAAATATTGCTAAATGAAGAGCTTGATTTCTTCACACCCAAACTAAGATGTACTAATAATAGTCACACCTGTTATAATAGTAGAAAATACATAGGCTTTGAGCAGATTGTTAATATATTGAAACTCTTGATTGTATCTAAGACATCCAATGACCAAGTAGCTAATATTTTAAATATATTTTAGTCTTAACATACTGTATATAATTTTCGATATGAAAAATATCTTATTACAACTAGTTCAAAATTACTAGTTTACCCATACAGTGAACCCCCTGTGAAACCTACAGGACTACTGAATTTTCATTTACTGCACCGGAACAGTTTAAGACTTTGTGGATGAATACAAGGAAACAATCATGAACATGAAAGAGGAAATACTAAAATATTCAGTAGTTTAAGAACCGTTCATGATTTTTCATAACTTACCACTAAAAGGCCACTGAGAACACTCATTAATTCTGTAGCAGAAGCAGAAGGGTTAAGACCAGTTACTGATTTTTAAAGAATTACATAATGATTATTTGTTTTAGTTTGCCGATGGCTTGTTTCACTTACACTAGTCTTCACAGGCGTGCCACCCTTCAGGACCGGACATGTTAACGAGCCTAAGAGCCTTATGGCTCTATTATGTTTTGCTTAGCACGGAATAAGAGCTCCTATTTAGCAAGGTGCTTTTCCAGAGGTCCCGAAGGTGGAGCTGTACAGTACTTACAATTCGAGGTTTGAAAGGGGGCTTGATTTTCCTTTGTTCCAGCATGACCCAGTCGATTTCCTTAAAGAACGGGTGTTGCTTGATGGCTTCTTCACCACCCTGGGAGGCCACACATCCGAGGCGCTTACTGGGGCTCTTCGTCATGAACTGCAAAGCAGCACAGAGACAGAGTCCAGAGGTGAAATGATGTATGAGGCATATGAAAGAGGTGCAGGTGTGTGGTGTTGAAAAATTAACATCCTGCAGACCTTCCCCTTACTGTTTTTAATTAAAACATTGCATGGCTGAGACAGAAGCCCACAAAGCTGCCATTGTGTCACGGATTTCTGTTCTTCACAGGCTATACTGAGGTGCAGCAAGCTTTTATGACTTTATTGCACAAAAGCTGTTTGGTAAACGTGGGCAAATGAAGTTACTATACAGTAGCTGGCTGCCTTGTCAACATGAACTTAAAAGCAAATATTAAACTTCATTTCTTCAATTGCAGTATATTCTGAATTACACCACCATTTACACAATTCTTTATAAATAAATGCAAAAAAAGATTTCCTCTTTCTACACAGAAATGGATGTTAAACAGTAACTGTATACAGCACCTTGCCTTCTGGCCCCCATAAGTTTTGTTTCCTACGTGTTACTCTTGTGTTCAAACTGATCTGACTGAGGGACATTCTACTTTCTGCTTTTCAGTTGACAGTGAATCTGTTTTGAGTTCTAACACTGCACAGCGAGCTGCGGATAAAACCCAGTCACAGGGTATTGCTTGGACAGCCCAGCCCAGCTCACAGAGGAGGACAGTACATGCCAGAAGCTGCCCAGGGCACACACGGCACTGTTCTCTTGTCCTCAGGTCACCTTGTTGCTCTGCAGCTCAAGTTTCAAGAAGCACAATGTGAGGAAACCAGTGGGTCCAGTCTGTACTCCCACGTTAACAGACTGAAAATAACCCTCTCCGACGCCTGTTGTTCTCCAGTCTTTCCTGTTCTCAAGCCTCTGGGCTAGTCCTGCAGGTCTGTATCTGTATCCAGGGGGGACAGCCCTGACTCCTCCTGTCCACCATGTGGCTGCACTTCATTCCTGTATGGCTCTGAGGGAGATGCACTATGGCCGCCCCCCCCCTCAATTCCAGTCACTGGGGAATGAGTTCACATGCTGAGACTGGCGAGGTGTACTGGTGTACGGGTCACACAGGCCAACAACATGAAGCACTTACTTATACTACACACAAATTCAGTTAATAAACAATAAATATGGCCAAGCATTTGAAGTTGCATAAGATACACAATGTCCTTTCTTTTTTATAAACCGGATGCTAAGCTGGAGCAGGGATCTAAAAGAATTTTTCAAAGGCGGCCTGCGAGACTCTGACAACACAGTGACAGCTCGTCGTATTTCCCAAGACAAATGTCCGCTGTTACCCACAAGGATATGTGGAGGAAGGAACATTCAAAGTTAACTGAGGACGAGTTATGGAAAAAAAGGGCAAGAACTTAAAAAAAACAACACAACAAACGCATATAAGCAGGGCAGAGGGCACGTGCAAACACAGACTCTCTGGACTTCACAAAGCAGCTAGGGAAGAAGAAACAGAAGGCCTGCAGAAGTGCACTGGTACAGGCTCATGATGTCTCTCTCAATGTCACAGCATAAAGCTTATGCAATCCCAAGCACCAGAGAACACAAACATTATGTTCTTTTCCCACAAGAAGTGTAATTTATCCCAGGCCCCCTCTTGCTATAACCGGTGGCACTGTGAACTCCCAATGAACTCCCAATGCTGACTGCACTTAGCTAATCAGATCGCGATTATTAAGAACAAAGGTGGGGGGGTAGCAGGAGAGAGCAGTGGGGTGGAGGTGCAGAAAGGATGGAGGGGAGCAGAAGAGGAAATAAGGGCGAAATATGGCTAGAGAACAGTGGAAAAGGGAGAGGGAGCCTAGAATGAAGTAGAAAGGGAGAATAAGGGAGGAGGAAATGAAGAGAGGAGAGAGAGGTGGAGGAGGTGTGCTGAGAGCTGAAAAACGCCGTCTGGGGAAGAGGCAGGCAAGTGCGCTGACCGCTTTGAGAATGCTGACAGCCTCCTTGCTCAGCCACACGGGGTACAGCACGTCGTCATGCAGGATGGACTCAAACAGGTCGTCCTCGTTGTCGGCCTCGAAGGGGGGCTGTCCTGCCATCATCTCGTACATGAGCACCCCCAGAGCCCACCAGTCCACCGAGGGGCCGTACTCCAGCTCTTGCAAGATCTGGAACAGAGCAGAGGCAGGGATTTGAGGTCAGGGTACTAGTTATGCCGTAGAAACACTAGCTATCCAGCAGCACATTCAAACATGATGAGGGTTTACCGACTAAACCAAAACCACGGTAAGCTGTTAGAAAGCACAGCAAACGTAAGGTAAATGTATTGGCGATATGCAGCAAGATTACCGTGCAACTTCACTTCTGTAAATGAAAAGAACAAAGAGTGGTATTTTCACCAGTAAATCTTCTTTCACCCCACTTCTGAAATGAAGTCAATAAATGAAAAAAATAAGACCAGATACTGTTCAGTTAAGCCTGTGTTCTCCAGCTCAGTACCTCAGGGGCTATGTAGTCAGGGGTACCACAGAACGTCGTGGTTGTCACTCCATTAAGAATCCCCTCCTTACACATCCCAAAGTCAGCCAGCTTGCAGTGTCCCTCTGCATCCAAGAGGATGTTGTCCAGTTTCAAATCTCTGCCAGAAAAAAGGAAAAAGAATGACAAATTCCATTTATTTTGATGAGGCTCACCCACAGGGCCTATCTTTAAAACTAGACTCAAGTAATATTTTTAGAATTTAACTTTCTGATTTTTACAGATAGATTAAAGTAGTATTACGTATTTTATCTTTTGATAGATGTACAACTTTTTTGCAGTTCATTCTTTTCTCTTTATTTTTGCCATCGGTTTTTCTCCATTTTTCAACCATTTGTTAACTGTTTATTTGAAGCTCGTGTGCCGTGAAAGTTGCTATACAAATAAAGTTAGTATTGTAGCATTAGCTAGTGAGACCATAGAGGACCTCTGTGCCGCAGTAAGAAAAGAAAAAAAACAAAGGTTGTACTAGCCATTACCTTCAATTTTTAACATCTGAAATATACTGTATAACTCTACTACTAGACACCGTTATTTATTTAAATTTTGATTTTACTACAGACCACACAGCGGACTTCTTATTTAAAAAATAAACATTCAATCAGCATAATTGCCCATAATGTTTTTCTTTCCCACTTTAAAGAAACCCATCGCTTTTGTTGAATTTTGCAACCATTTCCCCAGGCAGTGGAGGGGAACGCCAACAGCAGGTTTGTACAGCGTCAAAGTGCCAATTAAACTCTGTCACCTTGTCGAGCAGGCACTGTCAGTGTGTCTACAAGCCCCGCAACTGTGAACTGCCATGTGCCAAGCTGTATTGTTCTGCTGCACAGATTAACTGTTTCTGGGTTGTCTTGTGTGCTTCACCAGCTCTCAAAGGAAGACGGCCTAGCAATCGGAGCTGATATGCATGCTAAGACATTCTTAGCATTCAGCAAAGCTTCAGCCACAGTTCTGTGCTTTGCAGAAGTTCAGTAGTGGAAAGACCCATTATTTCCCAGAGGGTAGGGTATCACAGTAATAAAGGATCACTATTTACAGTGAGACCTGCCTGCCACTTCTGGAAACATTTGATTTTCATATTCTGTTTCATATTCTACTACTGTATGTCCCAACTATCCATTAATTTTCAGAGAGCAACTGAATCCCATTAAGAGTCATGGTATTGCAGAGCCCATCCCAGAAGCTTGAGTGCACAAGGTGGGATTACTTTCTGGTTGGGACACTCGTAAAACGGCACATATTTAGAGACACCAATTAACCCCACTGGCTTGTGTCTGAGAAGTGGTTCAGAACCAAGGGAGAACTGCAAATTCTACACTTTGACTCGAGTCTAAAACTGCCCCATGATCCAAATGCTGCAGCCATTCCACTGTGCCACAAATGTATACAGTATACTAATGCTGAAATTACTATTTTCATCTTGCACTGCACCTGTAAAACAGTCAATCAAAACAGCCAGCTTCTTAAAGCCACCTATGAAGACTGCAGTATGAATTAAAATTGACCACTATGAAATTTACAGAATTTCTCTATTGAAACAAACTTCTCGTTCCATTCTTCTTTCTTGGAGGGGAGGAATATTATTAATACCTCAAGTTTCTTAGCTCCACAAATCTTTCTTTGGCATCACTGCTAGAAGGTGTTACTGCCTCTAAACCTACTGTACCACATCGTTACACAAGAGTCCAAAGACAAAATATGTAAACTCTTTCCTTTGTCAGTTCTAGCTCTGATTGCTTTTTATCAAAATGAAAACCAAATGCTCTACAGGGAGCAGCTGCTAGAAGATTTTATGAATGAGGAGAAGGAAGTGCATCAATAACTATCAACACTGTAATGTGACAGGCACTATTAAAACACGATTCGAAACAACATGCTCACGGGAGGACAAATTAAGATACCACATCAATGACTGATGCTGACCTATTGAAACAGGAACTGACACAACTGCTCTTTGCAAATAATGTTTGCAATTCCTTTGAAACTAAGGATATCCTAGTAATTTCTCACTTTGGCCCACAAGTATAAAAGAATGCAAGACAAACCCATAAAAGTATTCTGCACCTTTTTCTTGTACTATATTTAGATGCTATAGATTATTCAGCTTTTATTCAATCTGATGAGTAAATGGTTAACAAATGCTTATGTTCAGTGATGGCCAGGAGACCCATTCGGATTGTGGGACATTTTAGTGGTGGAATGTGAGTGAAGTATCTTACTTAACAGTACAGCAGCCTGCATCCTAAGCCTTGGAAATGTTTTCTGCACCCTAAATAACACTCTCTTTGCAATAAAAAGTTCAAAACTCAACCAAAATGTCTGACACTACAGGACCTACATGTGAACTTAGCATGGAAGCCAAAAAGAAAAATGAAAGCAAAACATGGAAATTTGCTCTTCATACAAGAAGATTTATGTTTGAAGTACTCAGTCTCATAGCTATGATTTCTCAAAGAACATTTAGGTGAAGAAAGTAAAAAAATCCCTGATTACATACAGTATGACAGACAAAAAATAAAGTTTATAGCTTGTATATTTAAACATTTTATTTCTTTTATTGCTTGGAATCTAAATGCAGTTCCACTGATTCTTATCTGAAAACAACATCTTACACTGGTTTTCATTTGGCAAAGTTTGTTTCAGCATGCTGGAAAAGAATAGAATCAACAAAAACAACAATAAATTCCTACTGTAACAAACAAAACTCCTACATGGTATGTGACTTAAGTAACTGGCTTCCCCAAAATATGGATTTCAAACAGTGCTGCTTGAAGTGCCAAGATTAAATTCAGAGTTATTCCACACTTGAATTCCCCAGCTCTACCCGCATTAATAAAATACAAAATCAGCCAGAATCTCCAAACCACACAGGTCAAGGAAGGGTTATGAACTGTGTCACCGAGGTAGCCTGCGGCTGATTCCTTCTCAGTAGGCAACTTACACCTGCTGACCCAGCTGTGACCTGTCTTTCAGACTGACACATTCCTAGCATCAGGGCATGGAACTCCTGGTACTCAAAACTAACCTGAACACCTCTTAGTCTGATAACCCTGTCAAACTAGTATTTAAAACACTACCAACAAAGTTTCGTTCCAAATAATGAATCCCAACATTTGAAACAAGAACGGCATACAAATAAAAGTAATCTGATGTTGAGAGGTATTCAGTGGCAGAAGTGAAAGCCAAGAAGAGAGACTGTTCCCTCACCTCTTGATCTTTTTTTATCGAAACCATATGTAAACCCCATTTGAAGATAAGGCGCTCTGATGAAAGATGTCAGAGGGTGGTATGAAACCAGTCAGGTTGAGGTTTGATGGTTGATTGCCTGAAAAATGTCAACACCACTTTCCAGAAGCCATTCATTCAGAGGTGTGTTGATGTACAGTACGATCATTCAAGTTTCTGGGGGGGCTGGGGGGGGTCTGTTCTGTTTTCAAGGAAATCCAGAGAAGGACACAGCTTCTGTAAAATTTTACTAAATATACACATACCCCTGAATAGGTATTTCTGTCCCTACACTTGGCAATTTAAAAACAAATCACATCAGGAGGCTGCTCTGTTTCTGAAGATGGACTGTTCATATAGCTATTATAACATCCAACCAGTCATCCATTTTCTAACCACTTCCTCCAATAGGGTTGCTGGGGAGCTGGAGCCTATTCCAGCAAGCAATGGGCACTAGACAAGACGCAAACTTGGAGAGGACGCCAGTCCATCGTGGGGCACACAAAGACACAGACACGCACACACTCACACAAGAGCCGTTTTTCCTAGAAGCCAATTAACCTGCCAGTATGTGTTTTAGGACAAATCCCAGATTTTACTTTGTTTTTTTCCCAGCAGCACATGTAAATGTGGACTTTATAAAGGGCATCATAAATACCAAAACAGTTTTGTGCAAGAAAATTAGTGTATTAATTCACTTTATTTGAAAAGCTTTCTGGCTCATTGTTATGGAGCTCTTTTCACATAAAATGTTTTAATATGTTTTTGTTTTTAATTCTATGGACAATCTGACTATCCACCTCAAGTGACATTTCCTTTACAGTACTTGTAATTTCATAGTTGGGGAACTCCTGTGGTTGATTGATCATGGTGAGGTGAAGAGTGATAGGAAAGATGTGTGAAGCTATTGTGTTTTCCTCAGGGAGTTGTCTTTTATTCAGCCCCTAGTCAATTCCAAGGGCAGATGAAGATTTCTCATATCCTTTCGAAAGAATTGTGACACACAAGTCAGATATCTTCTTCACCCTTTCGAATAATAGGCAATGTTGGTTACATTTTCCTCTGTCCATTCACTCACTTAATTCCATACCTTCTCCTGATGGCCACAAATCTACTGTAATCTCCCGATGTGGAGCTGAAAGGTTTTTACAATTTCTTCCTTGCTCCAATTTTTGTTATTCTGAAATAAAGGTTTCTGTTGACTGAAATTTCAGTTTCTTTGCCAGACAGATCCTGCTAATGGAATGAAAAAAATGAAAAAGGAACACTGACATGAGATACCTGAAGATACTCTTAATTTGTGATGCGTTGGAACAATATTTTAAAATTTTGACAAAACAAAATACATCACATGTTTGTACAAAATAAGCGTACTTATTTCTGTTGCAATGTTACAAGTGTAGTATGTACACTGCTATGCAGAAGTCTTAGATATTTAGCAATGTTCTATTCTACTCTAATTTTAGCCATTCTCATATATATTAACCTTCTAATCCTGAGGGAACTGTATTTTGCAGTACAGGGAGTTGACTTTTAGCTTAATGAACATGCAGAGAGGAACAAAGTACATTAATGATGAGGTACAGGTGACATGGGTCAATTAGATATAAAGGCTAAATGCAATGGATTTAGTAGTACAACACTTCATATTTGTTGCCCATATTTAGTTAGATTTGAATTTTGTTGAGATCCATTTTTTATTCTAAATAATGCAATTTAAACACTGCTGAATGTATTAATAATGATAATGATGTTGTCATATTAGTGGAGGCTTAAGCAAACTGTTGGTGCTCATACAGTAGCATACCTACAGTGTGACTCTTGATTGTGTCTGAAATATGTATGACTGCTGTCTTTAGGAGAGCAGTGTAA